CCCACGCGTGGGGAGTCCGCTTCCACCCGGGACAAGGTAAACACGCGGCAACAAAGGCGGCGGGTCCCGGCCCGGCGGCGGGTCCCGGCCGTGCCCTGCGGGGCAGCCGCCGATCCCCCGGCCGCGGGCGGGCGGGAGCGCTTCCTCACGGCGGGGCTTGGGGGGCAGCGGGGCGGCCGTCGGTGCGGGGCCGGAGCGGGGTGTCGCCGGGCGCGCCGGAGGCAGGTCCTCCCGCTCCTGTCACTGGCCCCCTGGCTAGCGTAAGGGGTGCGGTGGCAAGGAGCCGCGGGGCTGCGAGCGGAGGCGAAGTGAGGCTGAGCTCCGGGCTTTCTGTGGCAGAGACCGCGGTGAAGCAGCTCTCCTCCTACGAGATCGTCACACCTGTCCGAGTGAACGAGTTCGGGGAGGAGTTCCCTCCCGCCCGTCACTTCAGCCGGAGGAAGAGGAGCCCGGAGGCGCCGCCGGAGCCCGCGGCGTTCCGAGCGCACTACCAGCTCCGCGCCTACGGGCAGGTCTTCCAGCTCAACCTGAGCGCCGACGCGGGCTTCTTGGCTGCGGAGTACCGGGTGCTGCACCTCGGGGCCCGGCAGGCGCAGCCCTCCCCCGACCTGCGGCACTGCTTCTACCGCGGGCATGTCAACGCCCAGGAGGCGCACATGGCGGTCTTCAGCATCTGCGGTGGCTTGGTAAGCATGCCGGTTACTTCCTCCTGTCTCCATTCATGCTCTCCTCCTCCTCCCTGAAAGAAATGCGGTGGGGATGCCTTCGCCGCAGAGCTGAGCTGGAAGTTGCCGGGCATTGTTCCAAGTAGTTGGCCATGAAGTGTCTTGGCATCGGCAGTTTGCGGTCACGATGATACTTTTTTGGCGGGATATACAAATGCTGCTTTCAAAGGATCTGTTGCTGGCGTGTGATAGAATTGGTTGATGTAACTCCTGACACCAAGAGCGTTATAACAGAGGAAAAAAATCATGCCTCAGAAACACAGTAAGCTATTGTTTTGATGAAGTGATGCTGTTAGTTGGCATCAGTTATGTGTTTGTAGCTTTATAGATGTACTGTGTGGTAGTGAGTGAGGAATAGTGGTACTTGACCAGAGAAGAACGACTGTTGATGTTTTTCTTCCTCTGTTTTCAGTAACGCTGTAGAGGTGTGTCATGTTCTAACAGGTGTGCAGCAGTGCTCTCTGGTCACGTTTCTGTTAAAAGTGAATGGGAAGCTTCTTACTAACTCTCACTCAGTGGGAGGGTGTCTATGAAACACTTCTTCAGAATTGAATTGAGCAAACAAGTCAAAACTCCATTGCCCTGCATTCTTTACTTCTTTCTTGATAGCATGCCTTATGTCTTCCAAAGTGATAACAAAGAAACAGCATGACACAACTGTCTGTCAAAGCAGTTGTACTGTATTGCTAAATTTTATCGTTTTGTGTCTAGAAGCAAGAAGGTTGATACCTAGTGCTTTACCACATCACTGTTCTTTGAATTGCTGAGGACAAGTATGGGTGACCTGTGCATTGTAAAAATATGGTCTTGTACATATTACTGTGAATTTAAGTTGTTCCATGTTTTTTGCAGTCACTCAGGAAAGTAAAGGTGCAAGACTTATTTTTGAGAAATGAAAAAATCTACCTTCATGTTCTAGTCTCTTTCTAGTAGCCTACAGGAAATAGAATGGAGATGGCTGGATGCACACAGGAGAGTGTAATGTGTATTAAAAGAAGGTGATGCACATGATGGAAAAGAGGATTAGAAATAATTGGTACTTGAGTTAGACATCTCTGTTGTCTAATGCTTATTCTTGGATACGTGGATATATGTCACCTTTTCTTTGGGTTGAGGCCTTGTAAGCCTGGGTTAGTCCTTGGAAATTACTGGAGAAGCAAGCATTCAAAAACAGTAATTCTATATTCATCAAAGTTTTGCCTATATATCTTGCTTTATAAATGCCTGTCATCGGTTCATATCTGCATTATAAAAAAAAACAACTCAAACCTGTACCAGTCCCCCTGATATGTTGCACTCAACTCACGGAGGGAGTAGGAAAGAGGAGGAATCACAAATACCATGTTGTCTCAACTACCTATTATTTACTAATTCTAAAACTCTTCAGCACAAGACTCTTCTCTGTCATAATTTGAATATCTCACTTCTCTTTCTCTCTCCTGTGCGGTACCTCCGAGTCTGGACCATGTAAACTTCCACTCAGAAATCCTTGAGTGCCTTTAAAGTGAGCCTTTGCCTCTTTTAGATGAGCCTTGTGAACTGTCACTGCAGCTTCCACCTGGACTTCATGTTCTCTGTCATTGCCTGGCTGAGTGACTGCCTAGTCTGAGCCACCAGCAAAAGACTTGCTTTTGGTGTTCTGGTGTCCTGGTGTTCTCAGGACCTCCTCTCACTGCTTCTCTCTGCCCAGGCAGACACAGCCTTGCAGAGGGTATGTAATGTACCCAGCATTGGGGCTGCTTTCCCCTTGCTAATGAAGCTGGTGAGCTCCTCACAAGAGGAAGCAGAGCCTTGCATGAATGCTGTCCTGCTTTATGTAGGACATGCCTATAGTACCCCAGAGAAGGATTGTGTGGGGACGAAGATGCAGTGATAGCCAGCTGGTTGCCAATATCTGCACAGAGTGTCCTCCAACCTGACTCGGAGCCTTCAGCCTAATTTTCTTCCTCACCCTCGTGGATCCAAAGTATTACACTGTTTGTGTGACTGTCAGGGGAGACAACTCTTTTGGAGTCAAGAAGAGAATGGATGTGAAAGGAGGGGGATAGAGGCCAGGTAGAATTTTCCTGTGAGATCTTGTCCTCCCTGCATGCATTCCCCACTCCCAGGTGGGGAATGCATGCAGAAAGGGATGCATGTTAAAAAGGGAACTTTTTAATCCTAAAAGGTTAGTAAAAGGATATTTTTTCTGAAGCTTTTAAAAGTTTCTTTGCTTTGTACATTCAACAAATGTACCTGCAAAAATAAGCTAGTCACTTATTGCTCTTGCATTGAGCAGGACCATGCTTGATGAGTACATGCAAAGATTTAAGAGGGCTGGCTGCTGAGGTAAGATACTATTTATTGTGAACAAGACTGTAGAAACTAGTCTAGTGACTCGGTAGCCCTGTATTATATTTATTTTAATCATAAAATAGTTTGAGTTGGAAGGGACCTTCAAAGGTCATCTAATCTACCTCCCCTGCAATGAGCAGGCACATCTTCAACTAGATCAGGTTGCTCAGAGCCCCATCCAACCTGACCTTGAATGTTTTCAGGGATGGGGCATCTACCACCTCTCTGGGCAACCTGTTCCTGTGTTTCACCACCCTCATCATAAAAAATTTCTTCTTTATATTTAGTCTGAATCTACCCTCTTTTAGTTTAAAACCATTTTACCTTGTCCTATTGCAACAGGTCCTGCTCAAAAGTTTGTCCCCATCTTTCCTGTAAACAGTAAAATCCCTTCTCTTTGTAGGATCCATTTTCTTCAATGCTGAACTTGGTGTATGAAAATTAAAATAGTAGAGATTACTTTGAACTATTAGGTATAATTTTTATTCCTCAACTTTGCATGTATAAGGTAATTGCTGTAGACCAATGCTGTAAAAGCTAGGGAGGAAAAAGGATGTGGACTATGACAAAAAGGAAATTTAACAATGGAATTTTAAAAACAGCTCTGAAGATGTGCCTGAGTGATCTGAAGTGAAACCAGGTACTTGAGTTCGCTTTATCCCACTGGCATCTATCCCCAAGCTCTGCGCTGCCTTCATTCACGGCTTCACTCCTGCTTCCCAAGTTCCTTCTTTTCTTCTGCATTCTCAAGTTGAATGTGTTCTCCCCCTCAAGCTCTGTGTTCCCTTTTCACCCTCAGTTAAGCCTTTTTCTGAGTGTGCCAAGAGCAGTGTACAACCCCGAGTACCCACGGAGCGTTGCTTAATGGCTCCTGACACCCTGTGTGCAGTTTTGTTGTGTTACATTTCAGAGCATGCCCTGGGTTCAGGGATGCAAATGGCAAAGGGAGGTTAGAAGGTCAGCGGGGAGTCTGTAGTAATTGCAAGGAGGGAGTGTGTAATTAGGGAAGTTTGGGATGCCGTCAAAGGCAGAAGGTCATTTGGAGTGATGGCCTGGGTGCCTAGTTGAACATCTGATCACATACAGGCGTATTTCTTGCATCTTCAGAGTAATTTTTGAAATATCACACTTTATTTCACTTTATTTTCTTAAATTCTATATCTTTTGTTGCTTTTACTGCATTAGTCAATTATAGCTTTCTAAAAACATGGGAAACAAGATCTGCTGAGGATGTCCCTGGATGCATGTAGGCTAAAGAGACCTCTTGAACACAATCCAGACAGCAAAATCGAAGAAGAAAAAAAATAAATTATTCCTTTAATTTTTGAGAACATATGGTGTACAAGTTTATTGACAAATATAAGCAAATACCAGTGGATAAAGCATCTGTAGATGAAGGAGCTATTGCCATGGATAACTAGAATGAGCCTTCAGTTCTTAGCATGCCCCTGTCTAAAGAAAGGACCTTTATTTTTATTTGTGTTAATCCTGAATGAATGTTATGAAAACAGTTTGTTTAGTCCTTTGAGAAGCCTGGTTTTCTTTCATGGAGGTCAGGAATGTGTTGACTGATGCTGAGGACAGTTAAAATCAGTTTTTGTGAGCTGGGAGAATGCTGAAGTGCCAAAGGTGGTTTACGTGACCCTACTATGAGAGAGGGAAAGGTAAGAAAGGAGGAACCATACATCTTTTTGGCTGTACAGTCTGGCATATAGAGTGATTTCACACGCTCACTGACTGGCACAAGTTAGGAGCAGGAAAGTAGATAGGAATCTCTTCTTGAGTGGATTTGTTGGCTGCCAGCTTTCTGCAGGCCAGGAAGGCAGGACGGCTTTGTTCTAATGTAGCTTCTAGAGTGCAGCAACGTCTGTGCAACAAATCCCTTCCTTGGGAGCTAAAGGAAGCCCCTGGGTAACACTCCTTTACTGCACATCGACCTTACTTTTGTCTGGAGAATAGCAAGAATATGAACCTAAGTGTGGATCTTCAGAATTTCCTCAGTACAAGAGGTTGTGTTTATTTTTTTACTGATACGGGTCAGCGGATCACCTTTCTGAGATATTTTGAAAACAATTCAGGCTGCTGCTATGAATGAGTGCAGTGGTTCTTTTCAGAAACATAGGCAGTCCTGATACTTATTTTAATGAAATTTAATTTTTGTTTGGTTTAACAAACAAACAAAATCCCCCAAAAACTTGCTGGAAGCTAGTACTAGCATAGCCAGCATCTAGTTTCTTGTGGAGGTCTAATGTAGGTAACAGTCTCCAGATATTTGCTCCCAGTTTTGTGCTGCTTAGGACTAATAGCTTCAATGAGCTCCACGGGTTTTCCAAAGTAAGCTTCAGCACTTGTAACTAGAAGATATGCATACCTTGAAATAACTTAGTGCTTTAACTTACGGGCTGTCACTTCAAAAAAGTTACCTTCTAAACCTGAAAGGTGGATTAGGTTTTGGCATTCAGGTCACCTTTGTGAAACTGAGTGTCTGCACATATTAGTCTTTATATATTTTTATCTTACTGTAAAGATTCCACCATAAGCTAGGAAAAGATCACATTAAAATGTCAATTCAAGACAATCGATTCTTGTTTGGACAAACTAAGTCCTATTGCTGCTGACTGGTTAAT